GAATATAAATCAGTAAATTCTTTTCATGGTAATGGCAAATTATGTTTCCTTTTTTCAAAACGGGCATTTTTAGTTAAGTCTATATATTGGCCTCCCTAGCTCATCATTAAGCACTTAAGAACATCTGTTTGTATGTCTAATAGTCAATCACCATTAATGGCATTACCCAAAAATACACAACAGATTTCTTAATATTTCTATTGTAAGAACACCTGGAATTCTGTTATTATTCTTACCCTAATAAGTCAGGGGAGTGAGATGACTCACTCTAATACAAAAAGATTAAGTTTTCTCCTAATTTTGTCTATTTCCACTTGTAACACTGCCTTTTGCTGTTCACTTCTCCAGGAGAAGTATGGTGTTATACTTTCATACATTTGTGGACATGCACAAAATAGCTGGAAAACATTTATCTCAGAATTGTATAAAATTTTTGAATGCCATCTGTGATGAAACTAGAATGATCTTTTAATAGGCCATATTACTTTAAGTCTGATTTTTAAATTTCAGATGTATTAAGACCATTTTTGTTATTGTATTTCATTACTATCATAGATAGGTTGCCAATAATATGCTTGTTCTCTCATAAAATAATAAAGCTTTTAATAATTTTTATTGATCAGATTGGAAATTCAATTTGAGAGGAAAATCAATTTTAACTACTCTAAGATAAAATAATATAAATATGTACAGCCTTATTTCAATACATGGGAAAAGAATTTAAAGTCTATATCCAAAACAACGCTTTAGGAGAATGAGTCAATGTGAACAACAAATACCTAGAATATCTAATTCAAGTGAGCTATGCTGTTCCCATGATTGGAGCTACCAGCACAGGCAAAGATAACATTAATGGGCCTTTTAAAAAGCCTAAGTGAACAGTCTTCCTCTCTTTAAGGTAATTTCCTGTATCTTCGCTGTGACACATAGAGCAAGAAACTTTCATAATCACACAGTTACTGTTCCATTGATTCTGAAGCATCCCTACCACACCCTCACTTAAGACCTTACCCATAAAAGATATGCTCTCATCATTTCTAGGGCTGGGAAGTTTATTTTTGTAATCGTCATTGTGTTAACATTCTATTTCCTTTGACTAATTACAATTGAAAGAAATTCTAAAAAACAGACACACCTTTTTTATACTCACTGCACTTGATCTACTAGACACTTAACAAAAATTGGCCTATGGGCTATATTAGGCAGACATGGAGGTACATTAAATCAGGTGGCATTACCAACACATTAGTTTCAGAGCATGGCCATCCATGTCCCTGCCGCCCCACCATGGAACTCTTTTTTTCCCTCTCTCCCGATCCCGCCTACCTTCTGAATGACTAGTCACCTAGCTTCCAGAATTGCTTCATTCCTGGAATTCCTTTTTGGCAAACAACAAATTCATACAGGATTTGAACAAATACCCC